AGACCAGACGGTTAGCATTCCTGTTATACCCTTCATCTATTTCAGGCTGATAGTTGGGTATCTGTCTACTTTGCTGGGAGAATATACTTGGATGCTGTAATTCATCTGGAGAAACATTCGAATCGACACCCGAACTGCGAGCTACAATCACTCAAGCTCTAGCAGTTCAGGAGAAAATAGACAAACGGGTATCTGATCTATCAGCGTTCGTTACATTCGTGTTGAGGGATAAAAGGTGCTCTTTTCATTTTCTCTTTTCGTATTTTTTTTTATGTCTTTGGTATCACTAACACAATAGTTCATGTTATTTATCTGCTTGTTTAAAATGCTATGAAATCAACTATTTGATATAGCTGAAATGTAAAAAAGAGGAACATACATTAGTCTGTATCCCCAGAATCAAGGGAGACAATCACACAAATTAGAGCTACGCCAAGGCAAATAAAGTAGACTTTACTAAAATGTTAGCTTTAGCAACAGACTAAAATATCTCCATCACATATGGAAATTAAGAAAATCAGGTCACATCAGCAAAAATTACAGGGAAAGGTGGATAAAAAACATATTGCCAATTATTTGTGACAAAATGAGTCCCCCTTTCATAGAAAGTGAAGTGAATTTAAAAGCGTATTCCTTGGATCCTTTGTGTTTGTGAATGTTCTTTGATTTGTAATGCTTCTTGTCTTTTCACCCTAGATTCTTTCTGTTTTTTTCGTTATGTTGTCTCCTTGACTTTGATAAACTGTGACCTCTGTAGTTTTTGCTGCCCTAGGCTGATTATACAGAATACTTCATACCTTGCAAAACACAATTATTAATTTCATACTGAAATAGAAGGGGGAATATTTTTGTGTCTATCAAATAAAAAAAAAATAGTTTACTTTTTTTTATTTTAAAGAAATGTACAAGCCAGAGTTTTGGAATCCATAAATGTTATTCATTAAAATGTGAATTATTATGAATTCAAAGCGAATTTTAAACTTTAACCCAAAATAGCTTAAGTAAAAAAATACTGCTGACTTTTAGATATTTTTCTTCCAGTCTGGTTAAATACATTTTCTTTACATTTATTATGAATTCACAGCAATCCATACTTTTAAGCCTGAATATATTTAGTGGTTGTTAAATAATTTTCACTGATTTACATGTTTCTTGTGTTTGTAAGAAATAGCTAGTTTTCACATATTGTCTTACACATTACTGATATTTTTCAGGAGAGGTTTTCTCTTTTAAAAAAAATATATTAATGACAGTATCGTTGACACTTCTGGCCTACGGATTTACTACCAGGCTCCTGGCTCTGGCTCAGGCCCGTGGATACTGTTGGAATTTTACTGTGTTACTCAAAGGAAGGATGGCCATCTTGAGGCCAAGTCCTCCAGTAGCAATTGGTACAGTGATAGCATCTTCTGCAGCCAGTCTAAGGGTAACCTCGAGAGATTAGTAGCTGTATGCTCTAAATAATCGTTATTTGCTTATAGTGATAGTTGTTTTAAAACCAATAGCTCTTTTGTAGCCAGCAGGTGTTAAGGCATTTTGTATCAGTTTCTGATAACAGAGGAAAACATTCTGCTTTGGGGAAAATTGTAAAATTTGAAAAAAATAAATATATGAGGCCAATATGCTAATCTAAAAAGATCACTTTTAAGTAGAAAAAAAAAACACACAGTAAACAATGTACAAATTCTGTCCTAGCTTGATAAAGACCTAAAATAAAGTGAAATGTTGCTGCTTACTGAATAATCTCAATAAGATTGGAATGCTTATAAGCGTAGCGGTGTGCTGGACTATTCATTCTTTTTTTAATTTGTTCTCACCTGAACAGGATGTCAGGATTCCTGGGTGATGGACGCTGCCATAATTGTACGTCAATATTGCAAGGTAGAACTCTATATGTACTCAAAGGTTCTAGCAACAGAAATAAGACTGAAACGTCTTGAGTGTATAAAGCAAGGCCACACATTTTTTCTCTGGGGCCACTTTTCAAGTCTTCCAGTCTGACACCTTGTGTGTCAAATAAGACATAATAATATACAATGATAAGAAACAGTGGGTTAGGTTTATCAAAGTGTTTATCAAATTTCTAAACTGGAAACAAATAAAATCAGTAGGCACATTCCATTAGTGCCACTTTTTAGAACAGAACACAAATTGCCCTCATTGAGTATACACAACTGTGATGTAGGTTTCTTTAAATAATAGTATCCAGGAGCTAAATCAGTGGAATTAGATATATATGTATGTAGAGATAGGTGTAACCTTAAATAAAGAAATTAGTGGTGGAATAAAAGACAGGAAATCACTTAAATAAATCACTTAAATAAATCAATGGTATTGAGCTTAATAAATATTCAGTCCAATAAAAGAGTCCAGAATTCAACTGATAGTCCCAAATTGTTGAAGATTACATTGGAATCCACATAGCATATTAGATCATAAGGACGGTATTTATAGCATAAGTAACCTAGACCCTGCTTGCGAGAACAACGCAGGGTTAATAGTACTTATGACTTAATATACTTTTAAGGATAAAAGATTAAGTAATAGTCCAGGTATATAAACCAGAGCAAATAAGTACAAGGAACTAATTTTTTAAAAGCGTGAAAGCTTGAATTAGTGATATTATCACAGTTCTATGAAAAGTAGTCACATGAAAAAAGGGGTTGATTGATAAAACAGTGAATTTATTATGGTACTAAAAATACATTCAAATATAAAAAATAACGATAAGAAACTGAGGTAGGTAGGTAGTCTATTAGAAACCAAGTAAAAATAATGATAAAACCTGCAGTCCAGACCCAGATGGATATGGATTGTCTTTGTAGTTATCCTCTTCTGTACCCAGATGCGACTAAGGTGTTGGTCCATTCCACTGTCCTTTCTCGCCTTGACTACTGTAATCCGCTTCTCAGTGGTCTTACGTGCTCCCAACTTGCGCCGTTACAGTCCATAATGAATGCGTCGGCGAGGATCATCTTCCTGTCCGCCCGCACCTCCCATGCCTCACCCTTCTGTCAGTCCCTACATTGGCTTCCTATAAAATATAGAGCTCAATTTAAAATTCTGGTTCTTGCCTTCAAATCTCTACATAATACTGCTCCCACCTATCTATCCTCCCTTATACACAAGTATGTCCCGTCTAGGCCCTTACGATCTGCTGAAGACTTACGTCTATCTTCTGTCCATACTCCCACCTCTGATGCTCGCCTTCAAGATTTCTCAAGGGCTGCACCGTTCCTGTGGAACTCACTTCCCTCCTCTGTTAGATGCTCACCCAGTCTCCACTCCTTCAAAAAATCGTTAAAAACCCACTTCTTCATAAAAGCATATCAATTAAACTGTTAATAGCTCCCAAATGATTCCTCTTCTGCAACTGTCACTAGTCTAATATTATCCTTACCTTTTTGTGTCATTTTACCCCACTCCCTCTAGCATGTAAGCCCATTAGAGATGTCGCGAACCGTCCGCGAACTTCTCGCGAACGGTTCGCCACGAGCTGTTCGTGGCGAACTCCGGTCAGCTGACATGTCCCGGCCAATCTCCAGCAGACCCTCCCTCCCAGACCCTCCTACTTCCTGGACAGCATCCATGTTTCAAGTAAGGAGGAGGGTCTGGGAGGGAGGGTCTGCTGGAAATTGGCTGGGACGTGTCAGCTGACCGGAGTTGCCGCGAACAGCTCGTGGCGAACCGTGGCGAACCGTTCGCGAGAAGTTCGCGGACGGTTCGCAACATCTCTAAAGCCCATTGAGCAGGGCCCTCAACCCCTCTGTTCCTGTGTGTCCAACTTGTCTGGTTACAACTACATGTCTGTTCATCCACCCACTAAAGCACTGCATAATTTGATGGCGCTCTATAAATATCATAATAATAATAATAATAATAATCCTGGTAGCCTGTGAGGATGGCGTTTGAGTTACTGTCTGCTTCACCTCTGACCTCACATCGAGGGGTGAGCTGCAGTTTCACAATATATGCTAGTGTTAAAATTGCTAATTGCAAAAACAATCAACTTTAATTACAGTGTGTATAATATAACAAATTATAAACTCTTTTGTTGCAAGTGACATAAAAATAATAGTAACAGTGTGCATCTGTCAAAAATAGAACATGCGATAATATGAATGATAAATCCATAATGGATAATAGGTAAACATTGAAAATGAATGCACTTTGGAGATAATAAATAAACATTAAAAATAAATTGATGATCATTAAAAATATACAAAATGGATAAATAAACATTTTTGTATGGATCCTTAAAAGTAGCATGTGTGCTTTTACCGTACAGTATTCAAAAAATAAATAGCGTTTGAAACTGTTATGGTACATATTACAAAGAAGCTTATTTTAGAAAACTTTTGCAACACAAAACTCCTAGGGATATGCATCGTTCCCAAATGCAAGGTAACATACATAAATATCTTAATATTTATTGTGTATTTCATAACTTTGTCTCCATATATTATACAATATTCGTTGGATGGCATTTTAGAATAATTAGGATTATTTTATAAGGCTTATTTTAAGACTACATTTACTCATTTTGTTAAATAGTGTGGGGGCTAATAGTGTTAGCAAATAGGTAAAAACAATCGATTGTCGGGGGGCGGGGCCTGACCAGCATGGCCGACAGACATGTGTGTGGTGAGCTTCTCACACAAACTAAGATAAACCGGGCACAAACTGGGATGCTACCCCTAAAACAGCGACAAACGAGATTGCACACTATAAATAACCACTGGGGAGCACTATTAAACGACTCCGGACACTCGCCCGCCGTTCTGAAGCCAAACGCTGCAACTGAGGCCTACTCATGTCGAGGGACCCATGGGGGGAGGAAAGGGCCGATCCTCCAACCTGGGACCACCGGGCAAATGCAAGCAACCTGTTCCCCCCGCTCTGGACCGGTGGGGGTAATCCCAGTCCCTGCTGGGGAAAAGACAGCCGAGAGCATCCCATCAACACATGCTGCCGCTTCCCACTCATGGGCCGCAACCAACATGGCTGATGGAGTAGGGGAGCACACTGAACCAACATGGGAAACCAAGTTTAATGCTGCCTTCGACGAGATATGTGCAGCGTTCTGGAGTCGGATTGCAGCCCGGGCAGAGCAAACGCTGCCGCCTATCACCCACACGGCACAGCTCCAGATGGAAGCTTTATCAGCGACCAGCTCCACTGAACTCACAAGCCCAGCCATGCACATGGACGACGCTGCAGTCTCCGCCACATGCCCTTCTTCTGAGCTGGGTACTCACATGGAGGTACTCCTCTAATGCCAGCCATACACCCGGGCAGACACCCAAGAACCGTAAACACCCTGGGCCCACGACCCTCAAAATGGGATCGATGGCATGACAGCTCGGGCTCCCTTCAGGCCGAAGACAATGGCACGCAGACTCTGCAAGCCCATAGGCAGCTGGATGCGACCCATGCCCAGGCCTGCCAAAAGACCTCTTGCCAAGGAAGAGCTAGCTAGAGAAGCACGGCTGACCCCTACTCGTGAGTGGAACAGACAGGGCCCCCAACCGCGGCCTTATGACCTGGCCTCTCAAGACCACCACGCTATCCCACCATGCGGAGTGGGTTGAAGACACTCACCAACGCTCTGTTTAGACCTGCACAGAGACACGCACTGTACCCAATAACCTGCTCAGACCTGGTGTTTTTACTTGCAGCATGTAACTTAATATAGCACTGTAAAGCCTTTAATTCATGCCCTAAAAGTGCCTTCACTACTTCCCAGGCACTATAGTCATGGAGAAACTAGATAAGCTTTGCATGTATGAGATACCCGCCCAGCGCTATTTAATCCACTGTTTTCCCTTACCCATCTATTTGTCTGCCCGATGGCTCTTAAATGTAAAAGCGAAGCGGTATTCACCATAGCCTAATCTCTAAAACCCAGCAGATCTTTCACTCTGCATATATATGTATGACAATCTAAGTCATGTTTAAGCCTGATAACCACTAAATACTGTATATGTTTACCATCTATCACACAGGGCAGAATAGAATCTTATGTTAAGCCTGTTTTATATCTTGACATGTTAACCTTGCTAACTACCTTACTCAACATACTTACTTACCTAACCTGAGACCTACTTCTCTAGCCTGTAATTTTTCAAGATTTACATATTGAAGCCAGTTTCTTTAACCCATAAAAAAGTGCAATTATACCTAATGTCATGACACTGTATGCCAATGTTTGACCACATTAAGCTTGTTGATGCTGTCGTGGCTATGCAAGCCTGTATGTTATTCCTTTGTTGCACACCAAAATAAAGATTTAAAAAAACAAAAACAAAAAAAACAATCGATTGTCGATAAATGGATTAAATGGCTTTTTGGGTTGAACTTGAAACACATTTATCATTTAGCATTTTGGTATTTGTTATGTACACAGGAGAGAGAAGAGAGAAAGAAATAAATATGTGATATAAAACCTATGTTATGTGGCTGTCTCAAAAAGAAACAGAAAGAAAAAAAGGGGAGGGGGGTGTTGAAAACAAAGTGTTCTATATACTGCTTTAATAAACTTAATATTTTAGTTGACTTTTCAAACTCCACAGTCCATTGTTAATAGATCACCACACATAGTAACGTCTTATAGCATGGAAAGTTTCTACGCAGAAAATTTGTATTAGGTGCTATTAAATGAATAAAAATATAAATATAGTAAATCTGGCACCTTAAATGAACAAGGAAAAATAGTACACTACTGTTTGTTGATCTTATAGGGAGAAGTATGAAAAATAAAATAAAATCAATCCAATGGAAAATCTAAAAATGAGGACAAACATTCCGCTACATGATAGAAATTGAAGGGGAAAAAAATGAAGGATAAAAATGGAGAGATCAGAATAGAAAATGAATATCTTGAAGGATAAAAAGATAAAGATAAAAGTGGGCAATGACTTAACAGATATATGTAACCCCAAAATAAAAATAGTAGGGGGATAAAATAGTATGGGAACAAAAAAGCTCCTGTCATAAAAAAGTATTCAGTTCAAAGTCGACATTCAGACCTTTCGGCACTAAAGTGTTGAGGGAGAAGATCCATTTCGCTTCTATTTGATCTAAGTTTCTTTCTAGGTCCCCTCCTCTCCAGTATGTGTCAACTTTCTCTATGGCTAAAAATTCTAAGCCAGTAGGATCTCCACCGTGTGCCTCCTTAAAGTGCGTTGATAGGTTGTGTGTAGGTAGACCTTTTTTAATGTTCTGAATATGTTCGACGATCCTTACTTTGAGTGGTCTCTTCGTTCTTCCTACATATTGTCTTGGACATGGACAGGTAATGAGATAGATGACACATGAGGTATTACAATTCATATGAGACTTCAGCTTGTATTCTTTTAGATCTTCCAAAGATGTAAATTTAGAACTTGTTACTGCTTTGGAGGGATTATTTTTACATCCTTCTCATTTTTTGCATCTTTGGAATCCCTTTGTTCCATCCCTGTCCTTCATGGAAACTCTGGATTTCAAAGTTGGGGCCAACATCAATTTCAGGTTCGGTGCTCTTGTAGAAATGACTTGAGATTGATCATCCAGGATTCGTGAGAATGTAGAGTCACTTTTCAAAATACCCAATGTTTCCTAAGTATATTTTGAATAACATTTGATTGGTTATTGTATTGGGTAATAAATACCGGAGCCTTATTGTGGCTTCTTGGGGGTTGAATCCTGCTACGTAAGGTATCTTCCCTTGGAATGGCTATTGCTTTTTTCATTGAATTCTCTAGGAGTGGAGTCGGGTAGCCTTTCATCTCGAATCTCAATTTCATGTCCACCATCTGTTCTTTACAAACATCCAGTTCCGAGC